TCTGATGGCTATCATTAGCCCTTTAGTTAACTTCAGGCTTCACAGAGGGCAAGGAATATCAAATTGAAAAAAGTCGAGAGGGGGGAACAGAAGAGTGTTTCAAAGATGTAAGAGACAGACACAAAGGTAGATGAAAGGTGAGGTGAGTACTGTAAAATAGTCGAATATGCCATAGAGTGAGGTGATGGTAGTTTGAAGTGAGAAGTCAACTGCCAGTTAATAGACTTTTTTCCGTATGAGTATACGCTGCCCAGGGTGCATCACGTGGAGGTAAGTCTATTGCACATCCCCTGCACGGAATATTATAACTTTGGAACGGAATTCCTTGTCTTCCAATTGTTATTTACAATAAAGATTGAAGAATTTTCGTCCTTATCTTAGGGTTCCTGAAGGTCACCTAGTTGAATCTTCTTTAAATCATTTTGTGGAATTGAAGAACGTTTCGTTCAATTTGCATAAAATTTACATCATTATTTTGGTAATTTTCCAGTCTTATAGGATCTCAAATTGTATGTTTTTTGAATGATGAATTAACATTAGAGGATAGTGTATTTTTAAAATCATTTAAATTAATGATCCACTGCAAATTTTTAAAATATAACTCGAATGAACCCTCCCATCGGAAAGTCAGAATTAGTAGAAAGAAGGCATTTTTAGTGCCAAATTTCTATTTCAATCTGACTTTGGAATGCAAAATAGCATCCCATTCTAGGTTTTTTCAGTATATCCTAATTTAGTTCAGTCCGGCAGTTTCGTTTTTCGAATTCAATTCTCCCTCTTGATTACGTAATAAATATTTAAACAAGGTGCCAAATGTCATTCTAAGATAGAAGAATTGGATTATTTCTTCAATAAAGATTTTTATTGTTTTAGTTGTACTCTGGTAGATTAAAATTTAATGTTATAATTGGCAGTTGCAAAGCTGAATTCGCAAATTAAATTAAATAATAAACCTTAGTTTCACGTTGTCTTGATAAAATTACATACAATTTGCGGGAATAAATTTCCTTATTAATTTGAAAAACATAACTAGATATCTTTATCAAGGATATTGTAGTTTGCTCATAGTCGAAATCTTAAATTTTTACATCATGTGGTGTTCATTTATTAAATTAGTGAGTGTAAACTTGCAAACAGAATACTTTTATATAAATTTATTAACTTTTACATTAAAGTGATTTTTTTATTAACATTTTTTGATCAAATATTTTGATTGGTTAAATTCTCCCAGACGTTCCAATAGGTGCGAAGATTGCTCAAATTTTCGTAGGTTTGGATTATTCGAAAATCTAACATTTATAGCACTCTGGTACATGAAATAATAAATTACTATTTTATTAGTTTAAGTTTCCCTAACTACTAACAACTGATTTAGGAACATTGTTTAGGAAAGAGGTAAGCTTTAAAAACATTTGGAATTCTGAAAGGTAATTTACGTACTTTGAGCAAACTCAGAGAATTTAATGCATTGAATTACTTAAAGGCCATTGTTTGTCTTCAATAATTATCGACCTGTGAGGAAAATAATGACATATTCAAGAAAGCTAAGATAATAAGGCTCCATAGGGAAATTGAATTTTACGGAAAACGACTAGCCCAATAAATTTATAAAAGGCTTTTGTACATATTTAAATTTTATAGCTCACTATTTATTACCATTCAAAGACATTGCTTTTGAAATGTTCCATTGTTGATATGGCTATCCGAGAAATTCTAGCAAATTTGTACCTACATAAAACTACAAAATAAAAATCGTATAGAAAACACTGCTGTCAATGCGGTAGAATACTGAGTCACGTGCGGTTGACGTTCAGACCACGTAGTACCAATGACCTGTTAGAGAGGAAGCGTAGCACGCCTGATTAACTAATTTGCATTCTGATGTTTCAGATACCGTATGTATCGCAAAAATCAGCAGACTGGCTTTCCTGCACTCATCACCATCTTCTCTGCCCCCAATTACCTCGATGTTTACAATAATAAGGGTAAGCGGCATTTTTGGTCTTCATTGGCGACAAAACTGAAAGTCGCCTTCTAAAAAATCAATTATTTTAAAAAGAGCTCTCTTTCTCGCTCCCCTTCCCCCTCATTTAAGTATGAACTGAGCTTTTATTTCTCAAAAAAATTGATGAATTTTCATTCGGCATTCATTCATTCATTTGATGAATTAAACTTTCATCAAATAAAGTCGCGGAACTACACTAAGACTGGCGACTTTGAGTTGAGAAATACTTTAAAACAAAGGCATTAAAATCGATTTCTTGGCAAAGTATTTAAAATACTTAGATTAAATTATTCACTGCAGAGTTTACTAAGAGAGATATTTTTGATAAGTTGAGGTTAAGACAGTTTGCGCATATTTGTTGACACGAATATTAGGCCTCCTGATTTGAAACAATTATGATTAAATTAATGAAATTAAATTATGATTAAAACAACTAAAAAAATGTCTGCTCAATTCTTAGTTACCTAAATGAAACTTACCTTGATATTAATTGGGTAAATTAAAAATTATCCCTAAATAGGTGCTATGTAGCACAAACTCGATATTCAATAATTATTGTTAATCTGATTATATTATTATTATTTCAAATGGCATTCTTTATGATATTTATCATTAGCCCATAAACTTTCACTTCAGCTTCCCCCATGGGTGGGGGGTACATTTATAGCAGTTAATTAATAGCAGTTCATTAGCTGTCTTCTTGCTTCCCAGTATCTCTGGCTTTCCGTCGTTGTCTTTAGAGCTGGACACCGAATCAGTTGGGTCTTCTCCATTTCCTCCTGTAGGTTACATAGGGGGCATGTGGGTTGAGTGTATACTTCCAATCTGTGAAGGTGTTCTGCCAAGCAATCGTGTCCGGTACTAATCTGATGATATTATCAGGAAGATTTGGTGAAATAGGCAAAAACAAGCCACAATTAATGCCATTTTCGTCGGATACTCCTACAACCTGGAATCAATTTGTTTTTCTGAAATGACGTTCCTCAGAACAGGCACTAATAAATAAATATGTAAATGCCTTATTTTTACCAGCTGTCTAAAAATTCGTCAATAATATTCAGCTAGGAATGTTTACACTTTTCTTTCGTTCGAAAATCAACAATGGAATCGATAAAGGCCATTTTAGGGCCTTGAGACGGTAAAGTTCCATTGGTTAATCGTCATATTCATGAATGAATATGAATTGTTTAGCGCCTGTAAAACATGAAATTGTGCCGATAGGAATTAAGGAAAGAGTGCTTCTGGTCAGGAGATAACAAAGTTGAACGGCTTCACTGTTGCCCGATTATAAAGTTTCGTCTATTTACATCCAAGGGGATGGGGGGGAATAGGATTTATAAGCTCAAACGATCGATATCTTGCTAACAAAGTAACCTTACTCATATGGGCATGAAACAGGTGACTTATGATTCGCGAAAGCCTCATCTCAGGTGATCATCCATATCAGAGTTCAAAGGTTGAAAATCCACTTCATGGAAGCTGGTTTAGATTTGCGAGCTTCGCTAGAGTCAAAAAAAATCGTATTGCTTTCAGGGTATCGCATTAAAATGCACGAAATCATATATTGCCCTTATTTTGGGTTTACCTTGTATTTCCAGCCGCCATTTTGAAGTACGAAAACAATGTGATGAATATTCGTCAATTTAATTGCTCACCCCATCCCTATTGGCTTCCAAATTTCATGGATGTCTTCACTTGGTCTCTTCCCTTTGTTGGTGAAAAAGGCAAGTGTATATATTGGCAGCACGCGAATTTGCCTCTTTAAGTGTTAGATATTGATTTTTTCATTTTTTTGTTACTTTTTTGTTCAATTTGTTGCTTTTTTCCTTTAAAGTTTTAACCTCAACTCTTTCTTATGCTTACTTATGTTTCAATATTGGCTTTTTTGTGTTCATTTCAGTCACTGAAATGCTCGTTAGTGTGTTAAACATCTGCTCCTCGGATGAACTCTTTGCCGACGACGTGGAAGATGATAGTGAGTTCGTTGGGGCATCAAAAAAAGGGGCATTGAAATTAGATCTTTAGATCAAAATTTTGTATTCTCCACGTTTAAATAGTATTAATAAGTTTGTTAGTCTGTATGCAGTATCAATCACTTAAATATCTGGTCGTTAAGACATAAACAGAACACCTAGATCAGAGTCTACACCATGTTTTAACACCTTTCAATGCTAAAAAGGCGATAATTTGAAGTACGAATTCGCTTTACTTAATTGGTTTTTTTTTGTTTAGACATCTTCTTGAATTTGCCTTTTCTGTGTTAATGCGCGCCATTATTTTTCAGCCAACATGAACGTTCGCAAAGACGTGATCAAGGGAAAAATTCGTGCCATTGGCAAGATGGCAAGGGTATTCACTCTTCTAAGGTAAATGTTTTTTTGGCAACAGTTGTTATATTTTGCCTTTTTATAAAGAAGCAGCATGTGTCTTTCTTTAGTGTATTGAGAAGTATGTTCAGGGGTCACGCGCCTAAATTAAATACTGTGCGCATATTGAAACAAATCAAGGGGGGGGGGGTGTGTGTAGGCAGAGTAGCATCCCACGAGGGTGTTTAGCGGTGAATGGAGAATCGAGGGTTCTTCCTGCTTAGTAAATACATGTACCTGGAGGGGAAGAGTATGTGAATGATTAGAACGATCGGAAGGTCCAATTTTAAAGATCTCTGTTTATTTATCTCGATCAAAAGACCTCGGTATCTGGTATTTATTTATAGCAAATGGCAGGCGTTTTGATAGTTATCATAAGCCCTTTAGTTAACTTCGGGCTTCATAGTGAAGAGGAGGAGGAACATCAAAGTGCCAAGATGTCGAGAGGGGCGTCAGAATAGTGATTCACGTATTTAAACGAAGCAGACAGACACAAGGGCAGAGAAAAGGTAAGATGAGTACTGTGGAAGTAGTCGAATATGACTTACAGTGGGTTAATGGCAGTTTGAAGTCAGAAGTCAATAGCCGGTTTATAGACTTTTTTGCTGTATGAGTATACGCTGCCCAGGGTGCATCACGTGAAGGTAAGTCTATCGCCCACCCCCCACCCCCAGGTACCTGATATAATATATTCGATCGATTTGGGGGAGCCATTGTTTTCTAGACGGTGACATAAAGTGGATTTACAGAGGAAAAAGTCGACTAAAGAGTCGATAGTCATTAAAATTTGGATGGTAAATATAAATTAGTACGATGCTTAATGAGTAATTATGAGAAATACTTTTTGGTTAACTTGCGCCCTTCATTACACTTCATCATTACCATATCTACTCAAGATTTGTCACCTGAGATGTGTACGCTATTGACGTAAAATTGAATAAATTCAGCTTTATTTTAAAACCCCTTCGTAAATCATTACACGAATGACTCTTTTAGAAATGACTATTGACTCATCTATGAAGTGAATACATGCTATCTTGCATTAACGATTGGTACTTAGGTATTATCTGATGACTGTCGAAATGAACCTTTATTGGAAGAGAGCAGAATGGAGAAAATCATTTCACTTTGTAATTTATTTTAATTACATTAGTTATATGGTTGTTTAATTTCAAAAGGAAAGGATTTGTTAAGTGCCAAGCCCAAATTCCTTCATCCACTGAAGACTTTGGTGGAGTTTCCGAATAAAGGGTTTTTTGAAAGCCAATTTCGTTGGGGGCATTGTAAAAACAAGTTAATTGTTACAAGCTGGCGCATATTACGATGGAAGCTATAATTACGTATAAGACTGAAATAATTGCAGAATTGAACTCCCACATATGAAATATTTAGCATCTCCTAACCTCTTTGCATGAAACGATGTCCACGAACCTTGCGCCTCTCTTGTAGGATGACTTTTTAAGTTTCTTTTTTGTTGCAAAAATTCACATTTCCATTTTTTGATCAGAGATTTGTTTCTATAACATCTGAAATATTTGGTCTACTGGCTATCATTGGGTCAAAAATGCTATGTATCGAAGCAAATGTGGAGGGGGGGTTTGAAAAATATTTCAAAAATTCTTTCAAAAATCTAAATTTTTTGATGATAAATTATGGATTAATCTCGTCATTTGATCCATTCCACTACTCAGAAAAGTCTTTGTCAGAGTCACGTTGTGAATATTAGACAAAAGATTCTAATTTTACTTAAAGTTTTTATTGCAAACTTTGAATTCCGGGCATTAAAGAAAGTCGTAAAATATTTAGAAAAAGTCTCTTCTCGCCTTATTACTTATAAAATTAATGAGATGTCACAAAGGTTCTCTAGTTCCCAATAGATTTCCTGCTTGAATATGACAACTGAGCTGATCAGAAGGGCTCAAGAAGGTCTCAAACTATCTTTCAATTAAAAAACCTGAAATATTTGGCTGAAATATCTTCCATTGTGACTTCCAGACACCTGGAGTTGGCAATGCCAGTACCTTGCATAGATTCTGTGTTTCTGCTCAGGACATCGACCTCCCGACAAATGTAAAGCTTGTTTCTATAAATAATGAGGCATTAGTCATTACCTAAACTCATTAGACGGTCTTGGATAGCCCTAACCCTTTCAGTCATTAGTTGAAATGGACTAATCGGAAGCTTTCAAGTGCGCTCGCCTAAACTGTATCCTCCTAGCTCTATTGATGTCAATTAATGAATTCTCTGTGTACCCGAGGGACCATGGAGTGGGTATTTACCAAGATAAAAAATCAAGGTATCATTTAATCGAATATTGTTACAAATTGGGGTAAAAAATCGCTGAAGTGGAAATAAATATTACATAATTTAAATATGCAATAAAATTTGGCGCAAAGAAGTCTATTTATGGCGCGAATTTGGGACTTTTGTAAGTAAAACAAATTCCCTTTCATTTTTAAATGCGTGCTTATAACAGATATGAACTTAATTAGGAGTGTGGCAATATGAGCAGATACTTAAAAAAAATAACGCTAGGGACAAATTATTCATCATTCGACCCTGCACTAATGAAATGTAAGTGCCTCGGTTATGACTACCCAAATTCTAACACTTCTTGTTATAGTCTATTGTGACAAACAGGCAGAGAGATGCGTCAATGTCATTCCTTACTTCACGACCCCCGGGGTTGATTAAAGTACACACTGGGGATGGGATTGCCACGCTTGGCAATGAATTCAAAGTAAAGGGTGATAATAACACTGAAATATCACTTCCAGAATTGGCAGGCGTCTTGATGGTTATCATTAGCCCTTTAGTTGACTTCCGGCTTCACAGAGGGGAAGGAACATCAAAGTGAAAAAAGTCGAGAGGGGGGGGGGACCGAAGAGTGTTTCAAAGATGTAAGAGACAAACACAAAGGTAGAACAAAGGTGAGGTGAGTACTGTGGAAATAGTCGAATATGGCATAGAGTGAGGTGATGGTAGTTTGAAGTGAGAAGTCAACTGCCAGTCAATAGACTTTTTTGCCGTATGAATATACCTTGCCCAGGGTGCACCACATGGATATAAGTCTATCGCACACCCCTACACTGAAATATCACTTCCAGAATTGACATCCATTTTGGGATGAGTTAGGTTAAGGCTATGTGGATGAACTCTCCTTCTTTCTGTCCCCATTATTTGAAATAGATGAAATCAATTGCAAACCAATGATCCTGTTTCAAATGAGAATAACAAAGCACAAACTATGACGTACAAGTTAGGAGATTAAAGGCTGGTAAGATNCCCCCACCAATCCCCCTCTTTCTCTCTCTCTCTCCTGCGCAGGAATTTGAAGCCCTGTATCCAAGTGCCCAATTCGTAGGTCACCTATTACTCTTACAAAAATGTAATTTCTAATGCAAGGATGAAATTGACCTGAATAATAAGGAGGTATCCAAAACAATACCAACGACCTTAAATCTTTGAAATTTTCCACATTATATAAAGTTAGCATTCCATTATCGACGTAACGGCAAACAAGTTCGTAATTTCCCTTGTGGCGAGGCAAAAAATTTTCCAATCAGGTGTGGAGGGGGTTTTTTTTGGGGGGGGGGAGTGAAGATAGGGTGAAAGTTGGCAATATGGATGGGTTCAAAATATCCTAATTGGCACAAATTGGCACTTCGTGCCTTCATATTTGAATATTTGCTACAAACTTTAATTTGTGTCCGCAAAGTCGATGAAGTTAAATGATAAGTCATGATGTTTCCTCCTTTCTTCCCACATATCAAAAAATCATATTAAATCATAAATATCAATAAATAAATATAAATGAACTTTTGCCGATAGTACTTAACCAGGTAAGATTACATAAACATTAGATAACCTCGTTTAACTTACACAAGGATTAGAATTTCAAAAAACTGATAACTTATAAATCTATGTTTGCTTGTATACTAACTCGAAATCACTGTATAAAATGGCAATAAAACAACCTATTCAAATTGATTTAATTTTTAAATATGAATGCGTAAATAGGTACTGGGCATTATCAAAAATCGTCAATGAATATATAATTTTATAAGTTTAAGTTCAGTGTGGGACAGTTGGAGCACTGTCTAGTTGCTTATTTATAGACTGTAGCGAAGACAGTCTGAGAATTGCCCAGTCTCAAGGTCGTAAAATTTTCAAGGAATATATAATTAAATTGAAAAAATAACAATGAAAATGTATTTATTGCTTTGATAGACCGAATTAAATGGATTTGCAAGACTAGATTTCTGCTAGATGAATTTGAAGCTTGTTGAAGCCTTTAACAAATGAAGCAAATGTCATTTCAGTGGGAATCAATTGATCCCTCAAATAAATACTACAGTTATAAATAACGCGTGCCACTGTTATTATGCAAGTAATACCTTTATGACACACAAACTTTGACAACATTATTTATTTATTTATATCAAATGGTGGTTATCATTAGCCCTTTAGTTGACTTCAGGCTCCACAGAGGAGGAGATGGGACATCAAAGTGAAACAAGTCGAGAGGGAGAGGGGGAACAGAAGAGAGTTTCAAAGATGTAAAAGAGACAGACACAAAAGTTGAAAAAGGTGAGATGAGTATTGTGTAGTGGTGTAATATGACATACAGTGGGGTGATGGTAGTTTGAAGTCAGAAGTCAACTGCCAGTTAATAGACTTCTTTGTCGTATGAGTAGACGTTGCCCAGGGCGCACCACGTGGAGGTAAGTCTATCGCACACCCCACTTTGACAACATTTAGGTTGGAAATTACGCATTTCATGGCGTTTGCTTGTATCAAGTAGGGAAACGTGTAAGTAGAGTCTGAAGTTAGTGTATGCTGGTAAGGCAAGCTCACAAACAGTCTTGTTGCCTGGCGAATGTCTAATTTNTGAATTCAAAGTAAAGGGTGATAATAACACTGAAATATCACTTCCAGAATTGGCAGGCGTCTTGATGGTTATCATTAGCCCTTTAGTTGACTTCCGGCTTCACAGAGGGGAAGGAACATCAAAGTGAAAAAAGTCGAGAGGGGGGGGGGACCGAAGAGTGTTTCAAAGATGTAAGAGACAAACACAAAGGTAGAACAAAGGTGAGGTGAGTACTGTGGAAATAGTCGAATATGGCATAGAGTGAGGTGATGGTAGTTTGAAGTGAGAAGTCAACTGCCAGTCAATAGACTTTTTTGCCGTATGAATATACCTTGCCCAGGGTGCACCACATGGATATAAGTCTATCGCACACCCCTACACTGAAATATCACTTCCAGAATTGACATCCATTTTGGGATGAGTTAGGTTAAGGCTATGTGGATGAACTCTCCTTCTTTCTGTCCCCATTATTTGAAATAGATGAAATCAATTGCAAACCAATGATCCTGTTTCAAATGAGAATAACAAAGCACAAACTATGACGTACAAGTTAGGAGATTAAAGGCTGGTAAGATGGTTAAAGGCAGGTGTGTAATGAAAATGAAATATGCGTGAAGAAGGCGACAGTGAATCCAAATCAATAATCGATATACATGCGTGCTTTGGGAACAGGCAAAGGCTCTCTCTCTCTCCCCATTATATTTCGCAAATCTACAAGTCACAGAACAGAGCATAAACTTGTCTTTCATTGGTGCTTTTGGAGAAGTTTTAAGAAAGTACAACTATTTAACCAGTCTATTAAGTTTAAATTATGAGCTTTGTCGCGTCATAGTTATACTCTTCAAGATACAAATCTTGACGATATGAGAATTCTTGGCAAATAATAGGGCCATCTCTGTCGAAAAAAAGGCATTAATCTTGATGCCATCAGCTGTACACACACGCAAAAACTTAAGCCTTTATGACATTGGAACGAATTTTTATGATGCATTGTTCCTCTTAGTCTTCACAAGTGGGGGGTACAACAAGATCCTTTTTTTCATTGAAATTCAAGAAGCTTCAATATAAGATAGTGTGTTGGGTTCTCCGTTTGCAGTAACGAATTAGCCGATCTTTTTAACTCCTGAAATATGTTGCCTGCCTTTCTGATCATCAAATTAAAAAAAAGATGGATCATTTTTCTATTTTTTTTAGAGAGGAGAATGAAAGCGTACTGGAGTTGAAGGGCCTCGCACCAAATGGAATGCTTCCAATCGGACTACTTTCCGAGGGTCGAGAAAATCTCAAGCAATGTGAGCTTCCTTTTCTTCCTGTTGAATTTCTAACAATTTATTTTTTTATTGATTAAGGTTGATTATTTGACATTTGAAATTTTAAACGATCAAGCTCCCACTTTATAATCTCCAATAATTTTACTTTCCCTCGTTTAGGAACCATATTTGAGCTATTCTGGTCTTTGGGTTAAATTTATCTAAGCATTTCTCATCCGATAAAATTAATTTTCTCAATTAGTGAGCGTAAATATTTGCAATGAGGTCAAATTTGATTTATTACAGGCTTGTTTTAATCTAGATTATAATTTCTTTTCAATTAAATATTGACTTTCCTACTTAAAAACCAATGCTCAAATAGTATATTTTCCTAATATTCGCTTTTATTTAATATAAGGATTTAATCCAAGACAGGTTAGAAGCGAGACGTCGATTTATTGAAAATCGCACAAACATCCAGTTCTTTTAGGGAGGGATTTCGTTGAATGTAACATAAACAACCTAGTAATTTCATGGACCGTCAAATGTGAAGGAATTCAGCTCACGTATATCCACATTCATGGAAAATATCTAGTACCCAAAAATATTGTTTGTCAAAATTGAACATTATTATTGTCGACTGAGTTATTGTATATTTAGCACATTGGCAGATAAGGAAGATTAACAGAGGTACTCAAAACTTACCGGAATTCATACCAGCACACTAGGGGATGAGTATAATTTTCACTTTAATGTTGTTTGCACTCATAAACATCCATAAAGAAAAAAACAGCTTCTGTTGACGGTTGTGTCATGACTACTCATCTACTAAGTCAGGCACCACGTGATCCACACCTACAAACTAATATTCAATTATCTTTAACGGTCAATATCAGGATTCAATATTTATTGATTGAATAAGGATATAATGCAAAAGACCTCGAAAAAAAATGGAATCCTTCCTCTCAAAATGAGGAAAAAAGATTACTTTTCCTCTCTAATTTCAAAAAAAAACAAATGATTATCTAATTCCGTGTGTTTTTTTCTCTGAATGAGCTTGATCAAACAGATGTGATATCCAAAAAATATGGCTCTTATGTTAGAAGTTGAAATATTTAAAGATATAATCTTGCAAGAATTTCATCTCCGTGTTTGTTGGTTCCAATGCATTAGAGAGTTTATACACGTTAAGAATTTGATTCAAGTGTTGAGTTAATTCTAGGCAATTCGCGCAGCAAATTGCGGTCCCTCTTATAAATTTTACGCAAAACATTTAACTTATTTGCTTCATATTGCATCAATAGTGGGAAACTCCAGTGAAAGGGCTTTTTGGATCCAATAATTAATATATCGGAAATCACTTCATATTCACTCACTCACTTCTTGTGATAAATATTTGATCTGTGTGATATCTGTTGTCGTCATTTGTCTGCCGAATTTTGTCCTGTTTTAACTGGTTCTTGTATTTTTGAATCATTTCCTCCCTATTCAACATTTCCGCTAACTATTCCCTGCACTGTAGCGATATATTTGTCCACATTTGAATCCGTTATTGAGCTCTCACAATTGGAAAAAGATGACTCCTGACTTCTCATCTTCGTCCCATATTAGCGAAACGTTGTTTTACCATTGTCTTAAATAAGGTCTCGTTTTACAATAGACGCTAACTTCAGCAAATTTGTAGAATTCTTCCTTGGAGAAACAAAATGAGGCTGCTCTTCTCAGTCAATTTATGCGATCTTTGAGTGATGCCCTTTAATCGATCTACTTTTTGCAAAATTTTTTACTGATTTTGAATTTCGAGCTTCAAATTCATTTACTTTAAAAGTGATGTAATGAAACTGTCGATTCACATACAATGTTCTCATGTGTCATTTGAAAATGGATTATAAATATAAGAAAAATGTTTTCAAAATCAAATATTTATTTATATCAAATGGCAGGCTTTATGGTAGCTGTCATTGCCCCTTTAATTAACTTCGGACTTCACGGAGAGGAGGAACATCAAAGTCACGAAAGTCGATGAGGTTGGGAAAGTAGAAGAGTGATCCATAGATGTAAAGGAGACAGACATAAAGGTAGAGAAAGGGTAAGGTGAGTACTGTGAAAGTGGTGGAATATGACATGCCGTGGGGTCTTGGTTGTTTGAAATCAGAAGTTAACTGCCGGTTTATAAACCTTTTTTTGTCGTATTAGTAAGTCTATCGCGTACCCATCAAAATTAAATATCTAGTTTCTGAATTGGCACAAGGTTTGGACCATCCAAGGTAGAACCTTGATCAGACGTTTCGTTTTTAGATAAATGATCGAAATTCTGAATACATGTTTTACTATTTTACAGCGGCATTATCACCACACGCGAAGATCAGTTCATTTGCCGAGGCAAAAGCAATCGATAAAATTAATGA